CCCGTAGAGCAGCAATGAATCGACTATCTACGGAGATAATATCACCAGAGATATTCACGGAAATATTAATGTTCGGAGCCGAGATTTAATTACTGTACCCCGCAGGGACGACGTGTGGGGAGGCGTGTGAGAGGCGGAGAGACTATTAAAAGATTAGGCGGTTTTTCTTTCATGTACGTCAGCCATTTTTAGGTCACCGGCTTTGTAAAGCCTGGCTTAATTCGTTGAGAATGCGCTCATACAGTACATTATTTATATTAAGCTGCTGACTCAGCAGGTTGGTGTGAATGGCTATAAAGCTAATAATGCTGCTGCAAATGAATGAAAACATACTACATTTGTAGTAGTGGTGAAATACATGTACTAGTAGTAATGGTAGTGTACATATTGGACTTGAAAGAACTACACTTTTGGCTGGAAAATTCCACTCTGAAGCAACATTTGAGCTATGTTTTAAATAATTTCCCAAATTTGGTTAATTAAGTGGGTAAAAAAAAGAATTTCCTCTTAATGACCTGTAAAGGCAAGTGTACAGTAAAAAAGTTGCATCTATTTGTATCTTTTAATTAAAGGATGCATCAGGTATGTTTAAGCACATACGCTGGCTGCCTGAATTTTACAATTAATAGCCAATTCTTATGTTTTTACTTGTATTTCATTTTCTGTCTTCTTTCTTACATTGTATATATATTCATATTCAGTAAAATATTCAAGATAGGTGTAAATGCCTCATAACAAATACAGATAATCCATATATATTTTCTTTCCTGTAGTTGTCTTTGGGGGGCATTGTCCTAGCAGGCCCGTAGCCAGGGGGGGTTCGGGGGTTCAAAAGAACTGCCCCTTTTGTCAGGAAAAGGTCCATTTAGGGTAAAATTTGATCTAGGTACCCATAAGTTTCATTGTAAAAGGTCCAATTTTTCAGAAAAAGAACCCCCCTGGTCCTAGTATCATGTTTTACCCACTGGTTTACAAATGCAGGACAATGATGCTTGTGCTGGTACGTATGCTTAAAGTTCAAGTAATTTTTTTGTCTGAGAATGAAGACTAGGTACTGTCTTGTTGACACTTGTGGTGAACCTTAACAAATAACACGGTTTTTCTCTTCAGATCCCTTCTTTGCCTCACATACAACAATGGCAGAGAAAACAAGCTATCTTTGTAGCTACAAGAAGTGCAATAAAAAAGAGGCTATAACAAGAGGAGGTTGCAGAGTGGAAATAAAGTCATTTGAGCCAGCACAGACAGGTAAAACATGGAAAACAGACTTGATTATTTCTGATTTAAATTAGAAAGTCGCTTTGTTCTTGGTGGTTTCCTTACATAAGGGGCAAAAAATAATAATATTAATTTTTAAAAAAATAAAGAAAAACAGTCGCTAGGACACTGAGCCATTTTTTTCTAATTTTTTTCCTTAAACTGAAAGTTATGTCTAATAAAATTATAAAACAATTGCTATAAGTATATAAATATACATCTGTATAGTCAGTGTTTCAAACAATAGGAACCAGTATGTGGCCCATTTTTGAATTAAGGCAAGTTTCATAATAAATTTGTAGACAATATTATTTTTTATCAAATGTCCAATCTTTGGTTTTAGTTTTCCTGATCTTGTTGTTGGTGCCACCCCCCCCCCACCCCCCCACCTCTTGTCAAAACAAAAATAACTATAAAATACCACAAGATTGGCTCTTCATATTCAGTTCAACATTTAATATTATTATCATTATAATTGTTATTCTCGTGTTGTTTTCCCTTGGGTCTGTAGGATTAAAAGACAAAGATGCCTTGGTGAAGTGGGGGGACGCTGGTGATGCCATACTGCATGAAGAATGCTGGCGAAGTCTGGTCACCCAAAGCAAAGCTGCCGCATCCCACTCCTCAACACCAAACACCATGACCCAAACTGAGGTTGCCATGGTAACAGAGGCAAAGAAGACGGCAGAGTATTTTGACTCTGAAGAGAAAGTGAAGTCTGAGGCCAAAAGAGTGGCTCACATGCTGAGAGGGTCCAGCCATTGTATTGCTTTCACAGGTAAAATTTTTCCAAAGTTAAGCACTCCTTTTTTCATTAATTTAGAATTTTTTTTTTTTTTTGCACCAAGACTACTGAATGACTGACACTTTTATCTAGTCAAGGGTAGCGCTAACGCTTGCCAATTTAGCCAAATGCTAAAACTGACTTAAAACAAGATGGGGTTCAATTGATTTGTTTTAGTCAAATTTAAATCATATGTAGTGAAAAGTGAAGAAAAGAAGTGATTTGGCTAAGCGAAAAACTTTGCTAGTGCTACCCCAGCTAGAAACAATGTCAGTTGTATGACTGACAGTCTGGACATCACTGTACAACTGTATATGTCAGCAGTAGTAATGATAAAATAGATTTGACACATTGTGTCTGTCACCTCTAACACAATCCAAATGAAATTCTTTACATTAGCATTGATTTTTTTAAAGTTACACCCAATATTTCTCAATATTTATAAAGAAATTAATTGTTATGAGTTATTATTATTAATTTAGGAGCTGGTATTTCCACGTCAGCTGGTATTGGGGATTTCCGTGGCAAAAGTGGGAAGTGGACAGAAATGGACCGAGCTAAAGTCACAGGTATGAGAAAAATGAACAGCATGAAAGGACACAAAAAATTGGTAAATTAATGGAAAGTTCTTTCCATTGTCTTAAGTCAGCTCTACTATTTTTCCTTGACAAATGTGAAGTGGGTCAACGTTCATGAAAATATATGATACAGGCGCAATCCAGAGATATTTTCTGACTGTCTTCCAAATAATCTTTGTTTATCCATCCTCCCTTTTAGACCGTCTTCTGACAGAAAAAATTACATACTCGTCAATGTAAACTTGAAAAACGTGCCATCTTCCAGAAGACCCTGAAGACGGCCTCAATTCGTCCCTGTGATAGGTGGAGCTAGGGGATGGGGGGGGGGGGGGGGGAGAGGGGAGGAGTGTCTCCCAAAAAGGGCACATTTACCCTATTGTACATAACATGTCATGTTGTAGATCTTTCCATTTGGCTGCTCTTAGGTAGAGGGGATTTAAAGGTTGAAAAGTACTACACAAAATGACTGGAAAAAAGTTCACTCTGAATCATAATTTGATAAGAATGATTATGGTAATTATAATAATACTTATTTTCAACAAGACATAGTTGGATTCTACAATAGGATATAAAAATTAGTACAATTCTTTAAAACATAAAGTAAAATTAAAATTATGGTGTTTTGATCTAGATTTTGTACCATTCCTTACCATGATGGGTGAATTAAGAGGTCAAAATGTTCACTTTTCAGAAAAAGAACCCCCTTATGAAATTGCTGGTTTGATGCCTGTTTGGAGTATAGTGCCACTGACAATACTGGGGATATATATAATTTATATATATTTTAGGAAAAGGTGCTAAGAGCAAGGGTGGTTTCAGGTACTCAGACCTGCGTCCTACCTACACCCATGAGGCTCTGGTCAAGTTGATGAAGATGGGAATACTGAAATATGTGATAAGTCAAAATACAGACGGTTTGCACAGGTAATGTTGAATATTGTAAGATGGGAATACTGAAATATGTGATAAGTCAAAATACAGACAGTTTGCACAGGTAATGTGGAATATAGTATAATGGGAATACTGAAATATGTGATAAGTCAAAATACAGACGGTTTGCACAGGTAATGTGGAATATAGTAAGATGGGAATACTGAAATATGTGATAAGTCAAAATACAGACGGTTTGCACAGGTAATTTGGAAAATAATGAGAGGTGTATGTTTATCTGTGCCAACATTTTGTAAAACTTCTGTTGTTGATAAATGCAGTTTTTAATATTCATGATTTTTCTCTTAACAAGTTGCACTACATGCATGTATGTCAGTGCTGCTTAGATAAAATCAATCAAGTATTTTTTTTTTCATTTATTATATTTTCAAATATAGATAAATGTTTTTATTATTTGATCAAGAATTGTGTTACATTCAGGCTGTCTGGCATTCCAAGAGATGGAATCTCGGAACTTCATGGGAATGCTTTCCATGAAAAATGTGAGGATTGTGGCACTAGATACGAGAGACCCTCTGCATCTCGCCTGGCGGGCGGAGTTCCCAAGGCATGTGAACAGTGCAGAATTAACCATAGAACAGGGAGGATGTGTGAGAGGAAGGTGTGTGTATACACACTCACACACACACACACACACACACACACACATACATGCATGCACATACATTTTTGTGAAATCATTTTATACCTCGTGTATACACACGAACACACACAGACAAACAGAAATGCTGACACACATTTTACCATATGACAATCGGGTATAGATATACATGTACACAAACGCATTTTTTTCAGTAAATAGAATATTCCAGAATGCTGTGGATTTCATATTTATTAAATATCATAGAATGTCAAATTTTTCTCTATTTTGTCGTATCAGGGTTGCCAAGGTTACCTGATGAACACAATCATCAACTTTGGAGACAACTTGGAATCCCATGTCCTCAGCAAAGCTGTAGAACATGCTGAGAAGAATGACCTAGTTCTGTGTCTGGGGACCACGCTGATGGTTTCCCCAGCTAACAGTCTGGTGGAGATGGGGAAGAAACCAGTGAGACTTGTGATTTGTAACAGGTAAGAGAGGAGGACACAGTGAATAGCCTGTATCGCCTAAAAAAAAAAATAATAAAATGGGTCGTTCACGATAAAAAGTGACTCCCTTGGTCAGATCAGTGAGACATACATTTTGTGTTACTGATGCATAATTCTACTTTGTTCCATTATTGTACATGTATCTGTATTATGCTGCTTGTAGTGTTCACAAATATAATTCCCGGACATGTAAATTAATTTGATTAGAGTCGATTGCTTGTGCACTCGACTCGTTTTATGGCCTTACCTGAAGTCATGTAACATAACATGCTGTATTTATTTCCCTCACAAAACAGAAAGAAATCAACTGCGATTTTTAAAACTGATGTATGCAAACATAACACAAAATGTACGCGTCACTGATTTGACTCAGAGTTTTTTTTTTTTTTTTTTTTTTTTTTGTGAAAAGAAGGATACAGCTGCAATGAAAAGCTGTCCACCAATAGTTCAAAGAAACTAATATAACGGTGAAGAGTTCAGTACGGAATCCTTATCAAGCAAGATGCCAAAATGTACTTTTGTAATTTTAAAAGAAGTTTTTAAAAAGAAATAATGACCCATTATTTAGATTAAGAGTTGCTTTGCTGTTCTCGATTTTATGAAATGGATTGCCAATTTATTGTCCTTTTCTGTGGACTCTATTCCAGGCAGCCCACGCCTATGGATGCCTTGTGTTATGAACCAGATGTCGCCAACGGTGGTCAGGTCGGTTCCAGGGTGTTTGGAGACTGTGATCACTTGATGAGAGAGGTCATGAGGTGCATTCTACCCCAGGATGCATTGCAGGAATGGGAAGATGGGCGGGAGGATCGGATGGAAGAATATAACAAACAAAGAGAGTGCTGAGGCGATGGCACTAAAAAACTGTCAGCTTTAAAACTTGGGTTGTGGAGAACTGAGTAATTTTTGTGATTTTACCGCTAAATACTTTTCTATTTTCTGTGATGAAGCTGAAGTATCCATTATGCTAAGTGCTTGACAATGACACCACATCATTTTGTGCAGCAATACGTGTACTAGTACATCGTTATCGAAATTATTGATATTATGCTTTACATTATTTTTATACTATATGTTATGCTTTACATTATTTTGATACTACATGTTATGCCAATATGTTTAAAATCAACTGGTTTGATTGCAATTGAACGCGTACAGCTTCATGTTCCTCGTTTTTGAAAACCTTTTGCATAAATCCACAAATATACATTTTATCGAACCTGATTTTGTCGTGTGTGACGTTTTCACCTAAATTATTAGCTTTATAAATATATTTTAAGTGTCAATGACGTTTTGTGCACATAACTCCTAATGATTACTATCAGCACTTTTTTTTGACAATTTTTGTGCATCAACATCAGTGCACTCCAGGACACCTACACCTCTCTCTTTCTCTCTCTCTCTCTCTCTCTCTCTCTCTCTCTCTCGCGCGCGCGCGCGTGCAAACACACACACACACACACACACACACGTCGCGCGTACGATACGATCTTTTGGTATTTTTTTCTTTAATTAAGTATATAAAATACATTTTTAAAAGTTTGTTCTTTTTAAAGTATTTGTGAAAAATGCATGGAAGTGCACTTATTAAGTTGATTCTTACGTATGTTATTCGTTGTCACCTAAGACGGTCTACTACTAGGGCTCCGTGGCCCCGCATTGCGACCGAGCGCAAGCGTCTCGATTCCATAACTCGCCCATACTCGCCCTGGTTGAATGACATATGCACGCTTTACCAAAAGCCCTTCTAGCTGTTACAAATTGACTTTAAAAAATATCGTTTTAACAAAAGCTCACCAACAACAATACCAGTAGTGTTTTTTACTTTCGAAATTGAAGGTAACAATAGTGTGATATATTTTCGTAATTGATAACCTTTACAACATTTTCCTCTTCACGTTGAATACTCTCGCACTAAACGCAGGGTTAGGCATACTTTCTAGCTCACTATCATATATATTCTTGGTATGTACATTTTGAAATATTTACTACATACGTATAATAATGTTTACAATACGTGTATGCTAGTGTAGTATACATAACAATAGAAGTCATACAACGCTAAATGAACAATAAAAGAACACTGAGACTTCATGTCTATTCAATAAATTTGAATACACGTAGCCAGAGTTGAGATGGTGAATTCTATATTAAGCTATCTCGTCAGTAATCAGCACTGCCGTAACTATACGGTGTGATTTATTCATATTGTGACTACGAGTCGAGGTTGAAATGGTCTGCATATCATCCCTTGTCATCTTTACCACGGTCCGATAGATCACTGTCATTAACGCCCGGAAAAGGAGGTGAGCGTTCCCTATACATAAAGTCACGCGGCGTTGTCTATTCAGAGCTATACAAAGTGCTAGGTGCTGCAGTAACAACCCCCGCTGCGTGGATGCTACCGTTGCGTAACTCGGTGATGTTTTAATTCAGGCTAATTACCCGAGTTAATTAAGTTGCAAGGTGTGCTGGTGTTATTAGTGTTGGTCACAGCTGTCCGAGCACGTCAACCAGCGTCAGTGCTGGAGCAAGGTTGAAAACTAGTTAACTTCCGAAGTGTAGCAGTTTCCTTTGGGAGATGAATAAGGATCTCTACCCGTAAGTCGTTTTATGTTTTGACAGCGTCGCCGAATTCTCCTGACAGGATCAACTGTTCCCTTTCCACAGGTACATGGTTTGTTTGATTTGAACCAAATTAATCGCATACATTAATTAGTTTCAGGACGAGGATTTAAACGAAGTAATTACTCGGTATCTTCATGTTCAGAGTCCATTCGACAGATTCTTAATTACAAGGCTGTCTAGGCCGTTTTAGGTTTCTTGAGAACGACGCCCTTATTCCTACTAGAATAGTACATCGTGGTTCAGCAGGGCATTCACTGGTTAGCCAGTCAAGATGGACGGAGTCCTTCTGCCAGCGAAATTCAGACAGGGTGGGGGAAAGCAACCAAAAACACCTCGCCCGCATCCACAAGTGGCCGCTAAATTTACCGAGGTGAAAAAAGAACTGGGGAATATCGAGTTCTGGCGTGCCGTTATCAGCGAATGCATAGCTACACTGCTCTATGTGCTTCTGGGATGTGCCTCCACGTTACGCTGGGACGTGTACGCACAGAACGCGACGTCAGACGTATCCAGCGGACACGTTAACAATGACGCAGGGACGACGGAAGCGACGTCGCAATGGACCCACGAAACTTTAGCGGCAAACTCCTCACATGCCGATGCCGATTTTTATATCGTGAGAGTGGCGTTTTGTTTCGGACTTGCCTACACCACCCTACAGGTCTGCTTCGGACATATTTCTGGCGGACACCTTAATCCAGCCATCACTATAGCAACCGTTGTTACGTCGAAAATCTCCGTTGTCCGGGGGATAGGTTACGTGTTAGCGCAGTGCGGCGGGAGTATAGCTGGCGCGGCTTTACTATACGGGTAAGTTTTTACATAAACTCAGTTGTGTTTATAATTTAGTCAGGTCACTAAAATTCACCGAAACAGTAAAAGGTGTTATAAAAACGCACGGAGAGAGAAAACACTGATATTCGATTTGTTTTTTTTTGTAAAAGAGCTGAATGTACGATAAGATACATAGGAAAATTAAAAAAGGACACGACGGGATTATATAACGATGCCCACAGGTCTTTTAATGTGTAGTTCCAGTAGCATATTTGTTAACACACATTTCCATTGGTTATATACATATACCAGGCTGGCAGCTCGGTTATACTGTATTTCTGCACTGACCCTGTTTATTCATATTCTAATTACGAGGATACAAACGAGCCACCATACCAGTTGCATCTTTATTCTTTTTTCACTCTTTCGAGCCATTTCTGCACTCAAATGTGTCATCGGAACACGTTTTGGCAGAATAAAAGAGCGAGATATCGCCTGCAGAAATTAGAGGATCCGTTTGACGTCTCATCCTTTGAATTTGATGCCAAAATAGTGAGTCATTTGTTGATGACGCAGTGTGGATGTTTACTGCAACATCTGCTTTGACAGTTTTGATGATCAAGCAGTTTTCATCTGTGATGAATAGTCCACTGAATATAAGGCCTCTATCCAAGATAAAAACATCTAAAACAAAGTATTTTGAAGAAACAACTAAATTATTTCCATCTTTAAATTAATCTTGCATAGAGCGGATTATAAAAGAACCACCTGACGCCAACGCAGTGTAAATTGATTTAAGATCACAAAAAAAAAAAAAAAAAAAAAAAAAATTAAATCTTACGAAAGCAAATACACTTCTATTTTTACATTGCTGGTACTTGCCACTCGAAGGAGGGAGAGCGTGGCCCGAAATCAGCTTGAAAAAAATATGTGCACTATTTCGAATGGTCTTTTTTATCAATCCACTCCTTTATTTATTTATCCATTTATTTATTTATTTATTTATTTATTTATTTATTTTTGAATCGTATGACGTGAAATGAAAAGAGGGTGCGTGTCGAGAGTTTGCCTCTTTATTTTTTATTTAAGTATTTGTTTGTTTGTCCTTTTATTCATTTCTTTATTCATTTCGAACTAACTACCAGATGTCAATGTCTCAATTTGCCACAGATGAAGAGAGATCTGCTTAAAGGTGTCGCAAGATTTCTTGCCTCCAGGTCCGCTCTCTCGTCAAGCTTATAATTATTACCGCGATACATATCTGCGCCACGCTGTTTTTACTACAGCATTTGAACATAACATGTATAAGCCTCGAAGAGGTGAGATCAGATAGTGAACCCAGAAGGAGCGTCCTCATTAGCATACCGCCCTTGATTAAGATAGCGCGATCTAACTGTCCACTTGGACGCTGGCCGTGTCATTAACTCTCAATACCAGCCAGTGGGAATTTTGGTCCCGAAACTGGAATTTCAACTATGATGGGTAAAATGATAGATATCATTTCCTGATTCGTGTTTATATAAATGGCGCTTTCGATTAAAAAATGTTATAAGGGTTATTATAGGTTAAATAGTGAGTTATGTATTACCTATATTTGTTTATGTGACATCATTGATACGTGCTTGTCCCGCCTAGGGGTATGTTGTATTTTATTGCTGCCAATGATATTAAAATAAAAGGCATTTACCGAAAACTGTGAGTATATAGTACTGCGCCAAACCTTACTAACTAAATAAACACGTTGCAATCATTGCTTTTGTCTCTGCTCCTTCTTTTCTCTCTCTCTCTCTCTCTCTCTCTCTCTCTCTCTCTCTCTCTCTCTCTCTCTGGATCCTCCCCTGTCCACTAACTATTACCAGGGATAGAATTGCACATTTCGCGCAATAGGCACGTGGTCATTTATATTGTCATTGAGCGGTGTCACAAATAACTGCTCGGTATAAATACACGAGGCAGGCGCACAAAAATGGCGACTCCCTTCCGTTTCAGATATTTGCCTTGGATCATTTTTCACTATTTCTGGAAAATCTCTAGTACGGTCTGGATTTTGGAAATTTAAAATTTACATGATGAAGGATGACGACAATAAACATTTGACGAAAAAGACGATATAGGCTATGTACCGATTGTTATCTTAATTAGTTTATAAATTTATGGTGAAAACAGTGGATATTTTAGGACAGTAATGTTTGTTGCAATAATATGACTAACAGTATATACGTATTGCCAACATTCATGCAGATTTGGTTTTAACTTTTTCCACCAAAAACAAATCGTGTGTGAAATCTGTGAGCCTGTATGCGTATTTACTGTAATACAGCCACAGACAAAAAATAGTTATGAACATGGCATGTGAACCCTTGTTTTGCGTAGATCTAGTTTTTCGACTTGAAGTTTTATTTTCAAGCTACATTTTGTATCTCATTCTATCCAAAGGCTCTCCTCGACTGCCGTACGCGGGCACATGGGAGTGACCAAGCTGGCCGCGGGCCTCACTCTGGAGCAGGGCCTCGGGATGGAGATCGTGACGTCATTCCTGCTGGTGTTCACTCTGTTTTCAGCCTCGGAGTCATCAAGGAGTGACTCTCTCAGCTCCAGTGTTGCCATGGGAGCTGTTGTGACAATGATGCATTTAGCCACGGTATGGGTAACTTCTAGCGCTGTTTGTTCGTCTGAAATGATATAATTGAAGAAATATTTACTCAGCAAGCGATTTTCTCCTTCTGATTTCTCTTTCTATCCCTCTCCCATTCTCTCTCTCTCTCTTTCTCTCTCTCTCTCCATATATAATATCAAAGAGGTATAACAATCTGTTATAATTCCTTGATAATATCCATTTAACGTCTCTCATGTTCTTCTAGGTTCAGTTCACTGGCTGTGGCATAAATCCCGCGAGATCTCTCGGTCCTTCTTTCATCACGAACTACTGGGAAAACCACTGGGTGAGTCAAGTTCAGTTTGTTTCAAAGGCTCGTAATTAATGGCACAAAGTGCAATGAAAATATGCCTCTATCTCTTATCGTGTCTCACCTGAATAAATGCTGGCCGTTATCACTGAAAACAAAATGCAATCTAGATCTGTCTCACCTACCGCATTATTAATTCAACCTCATTTCTATATTTTTTTCTCTAATATGCTCTACCAGTTTTGGCAACGTTTATTTATTTCTTTTTTCGGCAGATTTATTGGTTGGGACCTTGCCTCGGGGGGATCGTGGCGGGAATCCTGTACAAGTACATCTTTGACCCCCGCAAGACGGCGCCACGGAGGTCCAGTGGGGTACAGGAATCTCAGGATTCCGATGACGGTAAGATTCAGTATTTCTTAAATGTAAAGGAGGCGAATCTAGTTCATGTAAAGAGACTGTTGTGACTGATATGTGTCAGTAGTGTGCAAACAATTACAATTTCCCAAACGAGACTCGGTATTTCGCTTGCTCTCTTTCAGTTGAAGAGATATGCCCATGAAAAGGAACCAAAAGGACTTTTTAAAATCTGAAAATCTATCTAGAATAATCTGAAAAATGCAGTTACCGTTAGATAATGAAAATGGCATGACTCGCTCATTTGCCGTGTAATTCTTATTATTCTGCATTCATTTCTATTGCTTCCAGGTACGTTTAACTATAAACGCTGCAAGTTCAGAGACTCCAACAGTTCTAAAAAATCGCCAAAGTTTAGCAGTCGTAGCGGAAGCAATTTGAAGAGTAGTCCCTCACGCGCCAGTACACTTGCTTACAAGCAGCCATATGTGGCACAAGGTGCGGACAACCGCGCGTATAATGTCGACACTGACGTCTATGACTATGAAAAAGCATTTGAACACATTCCATTGGATTACTCCACACCAGTGTCAAGGTCACAAGAAATGAAACTGTTTGATGTTGCCTCTGGTGGATTTTCAGGCTCAAAGTTTTAAAGACAAAATATATAGAAAAATAGAAATAGATGCGGGAGTTGGTTTATTTGCCCTTATTAATGGGTTTGCGACAGACCGTCAGAATAGCTTTAACGGGGCATATTCTTCAGGAAATATGCCCAACTAATGATATCTGTATTAAAATACACAAATAGGAAGCCCATTCTGTAAATTTTGAGCTTGAAAAAAAAGCCCTTTCTCTTGGCCTGGGAGTTAATGAGCTACGTGATCACGTGGTCCGGTAACGACATACATGCCACCGGAGGAGAGAGCCAGTTTGCTAAACTGTCAAAGTGAGCAGCCATTTCAAACTACTGATAACAATTAATACCCATTCACCTCTCTCACCCGAGGGGTTTACATCCTCCTGGAGCCATGTGAGGCCAGGCTCCTGTCTATTCAGATATTAAACTAGCATTTAATTACGGTTATTCGAACTAGTATAATATAATGCATTTGAATGGCTTTTTTTGCGTAAAGTTTTGCGAAAATATAAAAAAATTGCCTGTAGGCCTAGACGCAGTACTTGAGTTTGTAATTATAAATCTATTGGTTGAAATACCCTTTAGAAACAAATAAATTATTTCTCAAAGCACTCAACACTTAATTTCCTGTAGCGAGTTAGGATTACGAACCATTTAATTAGGGATATTCCCAATCTTTTATTTCTGCTCTTATACTACTGCTCCTTTTAGAGTTTTTCCTAAAACATGATTTCCTCCTCGGAAGTAATGCCTGGGCATGCGCATGCTTCAAGACACCCTTAGAGCGATCTCTTAAATATATGAATATTTGCGACCGTGTTTGAAATCACTTGTTTAAATATCGATTTTAAACGTATATAAAAATACGAAAAAAATGCTAAAGCCCACCAAGAATCTGACAGGATGAGTTACCTGTCAATACCTGCATGGCTTGGGGAGTGCGGCGGTGCGTAATTAACAAGTTTAATTGTAAACGAGCTCTTCGCAACTGCCAGGCGTTTAAATTGCAGCAGTTAGTAAGCTTGTCAACTGATGATTGTCAGTTTAGAACACCGTCGGCTTTTTATGTGATCTAAACCACTCGAGACGACCATAGTCTCTATTCTCATCTATTGCCACCGAAGTTGGTAAGAAAGTCACAGAACACCGTCAGAGAAAAAGTAAGAAGATTGTCAACGAATGTCAGCTCCTTTGCTGCTTTTTAGTGCATCCCACGGCAACACACTGAGGCATAACGAAAATTACCCAAATTCAGCATAACCTTCTCTTACTTCACTGTATACAGTATGTACAGCTCAGCAGAAGCAAAGACTCCGGGCTTGTATGTCGTCACAGTACCACGTGACCCTGATATGTCTCTTTATTTTGCATATTGAGGTGAGGCTTTCTAAAACGTTTTTGTTTTCTACTTATGGATTGTTTTTATACTGTTTATAGGGTGGTAATCGATTCAAACATATCTCTAGTGTACAGATTGAGTGCTGGATCTACAAAATTCTAGGAAAGGAGTTTAGTGTGTCACAAACCCATTAATTGTTATCAATGTACAAAAGTGTAAATATGACTCAAATCAAGAATATCTTCATGGCATACACAGAAAATGGCCAAAGTTGGTCCTATTCAATGCGATATAGAACACCGAACGTAGCAGTGGGCAGGTCTCACCGACGACTTATCCAACAAACAGACACATTCTTAAACGGACACATTCTTATTTTTGAAACTCTAAGGGAGTTAAACTTGTGGCACAATGTATCTTTGGTTGCATTGCTGCATTCACAACACCGCTCTAACTATTTCGCGGATCAAATATGACCGACCCGCTTGAGTGCTTTTTTTCGAAATTCCCTGCAGGGAATCCACTGGGATAAGACGGCAAGCTTTCAAGCTTTGGCACTTTTCAGTGGCTCACCCTATTGGTGAATCGTATTATAAACTAACACAACAAACACACCCCCAGCTGATGGAAATGGCTGTTTACAGCTCATATGAATCACAATTTTGTCATATATGACAAATATTAATTTAAATATACACGGTCGTTTTTTAAATAGCGAGCATTCAAAAGCGACATTTGGATATAAGCATTCGATTGAATGCGTAGCAAGAGACGCGTCTCTGACGTCTCAGTAAATAAAACACTGTCAATAAAGTCTATTCTACATTAAACTAGCGTTTGGGTTTAACGCTTTTTGGTAGATCTTGTTTTATATGCCCGAAATTCCATTTCATCCTATTCATTAACGTACGCAATTATTTTCGCTTTAAGTGTCGATATATTTGTACTAAAATAATGCTGCTTGAATATCCGCGACGAGACCAGAAATAAACTATAACACTGCCATCTAAAAGAGAGAGAGAGAGAGAGAGAGAGAGAGAGTTATCAAACTAGGTGGCTTAAATAGACGTCAAACCAGCCAAAATGTCTATTAACAGAGGTATTTAAACAGTTAAAGGGAGTTTTTGGCTATTACCGTGATTTTCGTTCCATTTCAACACCCTTTTACCAGCTATAGGGTCCCCATAAAACCTCCAAAACCGATTAGCTTTGCAATCAGGATTTGTAATTTGTGTACAATCAATGAGAGTTAACGCAATTTAGGAGTGTTAATTCAATTTATTTTCAACTTTAAGATTAAATGTCGCCAATGGTCAGCCATATCATTGTCCCTGGTGTATTGAACTGTTGCGCTCGCTGCGTGAAATCACTACCTCAGGAAAGACTTGAAATGTAAACCGTGAATTATTGTCCTGTACAAGGCATCGTCGAGTTGCATGTGGCAGTCACGAATCCTGTGAAAGAGGAATTTTTAATTATGTTTTGAGATGAAGCGTATCTGACTCATATAGGGACAGCGCGTGACGTCTTGACGGAGCATGTTGACCCGACCATGAGGATAGGGAATACCCCACNAACCTGTCAATACCTGGTTTGGGGAGTGCGGCGGTGCGTAATTAACAAGTTTAATTGTAAACGAGCTCTTGGTCAACTGCCAGGCATTTAAATTGCATCAGCAGTTAGTAAGCTTGCCAACTGATGATTGTCAATTTAGAACACTGTCGGCTTTTGATGTGATCTGAACCACTCGAGGCGACCATAGTCTCTATTCACATCTATTGCCACCGAAGTTGGTAAGAAAGTCATAGAACACCGTCAGAGAAAAAGTAAGAAGATTGTCAACGAATGTCAGCTCCTTTGCTGCTTTTTAGTGCATCCCACGGCAACACACTGAGGCATAACGAAAATTACCCAAATTCAGCATAACCTTCTCTTACTTCACTGTATACAGTAGGTACAGCTCAGCTGAAGCAAAGACTCCGGGCTTGTATGTCGTCACAGCACCAAGTGACCCAGATCTGTCTCTTTATTTTGCATATTGAGATGAGGCTTTTGTTTTCTACTTATAGATTGTTTTTATACTGTTTATAGGGTGGTGATCGCTTCAAACATATCTCTAGTGTACATATTGAGTGCTGGATCTACAAAATTCTGGGAAAGGAGTTTAGTGTGTCACAAACCCATTAATTGTTATCAATGTACAAAAGTGTAAATATGACTCAAATCAAGAATATCTTCATGGCATACACAGAAAATGGCCAAAGTTGGTCCTATTCAATGCGATATAGAACACCGAACGTAGCAGTGGGCAGGTCTCACCGACGACTTATCCAACAAACAGACACATTCTAAACAGACACATTTTTGAAACTCTAAAGGAGTTAAACTTGTGACACAATGTATCTTTGGTTGCATTGCTGCATTCACAACAGCGCTCTAACCATTTCGAGGATCAAATATGACCGACCCGTTTGAGTGCTTTTTTTTCGAAATTCCCTGCAGGGAATCCACTGGGATAAGACGGCAAGCTTTCAAGCTTTGGCACTTTTCAGTGGCTCACCCTATTGGTGAATCGTATTATAAACTAACACAACAAACACACCCCCAGCTGATGGAAATGGCTGTTTACAGCTCATATGAATCACAATTTTGTCATATATGACAAATATTAATTTAAATATACACGGTCGTTTTTTAAACAGCGAGCATTCAAAAGCGACATTTGGATATAAGCATTCGATCGAATGCGTAGCAAGAGACGCGTCTCTGATGTCTCAATAAATAAAACACTGTCAATAAAGTCTATTCTACATGTACATTAAACTAGCGTTTGGGTTTAACGCTTTTTGGTAGATCTTGTTTTGTATGCCCGAAATTCCATTTCATCCTATTCATTAACGTACGCAATTATTTTCGCTTTAAGTGTCGATATATTTGTACTAAAATAATGCTGCTTGAATATCCGCGACAAGACCAGAAATAAACTATAACACTGCCATCTAAAAGAGAGAGAGAGAGACAGAGAGAGAGAGAGAGAGAGAGAGAGAGAGAGAGAGTTATCAAACTAGGTGGCTTAAATAGACGTCAAACCAGCCAAAATGTCAATTAACAGAGGTATTTAAACAGTTAAAGGGAGTTTTTGGCTATTACCGTGATTTTCGTTCCATTTCAACACCCTTTTACCAGCTATAGAGTCTCCATAAAACCTCCAAAACCGATTAGCTTTGCAATCAGGGTTTGTAATTTGTGTACAATCAATGAGAGTTGACGCAATTTAGGAGTGTTAATTCAATTTATTTTCAACTTTAAGATTAAATGTCGCCAATGGTCAGCCATATCATTGTCCCTGGTGGATTGAACTGTTGCGCTCGCTGCGTGAAATCACTACCTCAGAAAAGACTTGAAATGTAAACCGTGAATTATTGTTTTGTACAAGGCATCATCGAGCTGCATGTGGCAGTCACGAATCCTGTGAAAGAGGAATTTTTAATTATGTTTTGAGATGAAGCGTATCTGACTTATATAGGGACAGCGCGTGACGTCTTGACGGAGCATGTTGACCCGACCATGAGGATAGGGAATACCCCACCCCCCCCACCCCCAATCACCAAGATTAAAACAACACAATCACTAATCATCAAGATATCGTCAGGCCAATCACCAATCACCAAGAATTCCTGAATCACGATTCACGCAGAATATTGGGTTCAAATAAAGTATCACGCTCGAAAAATAAGGCCAATCACGAGGAACGCAAAAGGTATTCCCTACCCTCGACTATGGACAAACTTCCGTTATTATGTCCAATACTCGACTGAGCAACAAGAAAGTGCCTAGGAATCAGCGAGGTTTGCCCGGTACTATCTCACAAGATGCACCATCATTCAACGAGAAAAATGGCTGAGAAATCTGCATTGTTTGCATATGGTGAAGGCCTACAATGCAAGCTACCAGACTGTTCGTTGTCTGCCCTGGTACTCATCTAGACTCCGATTGAAATAAAAATAGGAGACTTCTAATTGACAAGAAGGAAAAAAAGGGCTAACACTGAACTCAGATTTCCCCCCAAAATTTTTTCCAAAAATTTCTGTCCTCCTAGTCTCGAGCAGTCCGTACGTGTCCAAATGCAATTAATAATAATAATAATAATAATAATAATAATAATAATAATGATAATACAGATCAACTCCTCGTTTGTAATTG